AAAAAAAACCCTGTGGGATTCTCCATGTTTGCTGCTGCCAGTTTCTCATCCCTGCCCAAGCAAGCCAGCCCCTCTCTTCTTTGCAAGGCCCTTCCACTTATTAGAGGTCATTTCCTTTGCAAACCGCTCAGCCTTGTTTACAGACCGTGAACAGAGAGAGAAAGAGAGCGTAACCAATTGCAGAGCAGCTGCTCCAGACTGCTAAGGCTATCTATCTATCTATCTACGCTTTAAAACCATGGATTGTGCCTGAATCGCAGGCTGCATTTAAAGCCACCGCAATGCAATAGCTTTCCCTGCTTTCTCCTTGCAGAGATATCTACTAGGACAGGTCCTATTCCTTGCAAATCCAAAATTTCCTGCCTATCTTCACGACCGGATCACAAAGTGTGCCTAGGCGACGCATGTATATACCACTTCGATACCATTTTAACAGCATGGTGGTGTCGCCTCGAATATTGAGATTTGTAGTTTGAGGACGTATTTGGTATTCTTGGCTTGTTCTTGTGTGCCTTCAAGTCATTTTTGACTTATGGCACACCTAGCATGGAGTTTTCTTGGCAAGATTTGTTCAGAAGAGGCTCACCATGGCCTTCCCCTGAGGCTGAGAGAGTGTGACATGCCCAAGGTCGCCCAGTGGGTTTTCATGGCTGAGCTGGGAATCGAACCCTAGCCTCCAGTCATAGTCCAACACTTAAACCACTAAGCCACACTGCTAGAGAGCGCCAATCCATTTCTTTGAACTACACATCCCAGGATCCCATGACAAAGAGTTACAACATTATAGTGTGGATACACTTCTGGCCCTGGTCACCTGTGCAAGAAATTGGATTTGGCATAAGGTCTTATGGGTCTGCAGCCCTTTGCATCAGATGCACAGAGCGCAGCCCCAAGGAGAGGCATTTAAGCTCCATCCACACTGCAAAAATAATGCAGTTTGACACCGCTTTAACTGCCGCGGCTCCATTGTTACGGATTTGTAGATCGATGTGGCACAAGGGCTCTCTGACAGAGAAGGCAAAATAGCTCACAAGACTAGAAATCCCAGAATCCTACAGCATGGAGCCAAGGCAGTTAAAGCGGTGTCAAACTGGATTATTATTTTTTTTCAGTGCGGATGCAGCCTTAGAAATGTCTAAACAGCCATCGACTGAAGCAAAATTCCATGCACCTGAAGAAATGGGTTGGAATCCATGAAAGTTTATGCCAAATTAAACCATTTCTTCTTTAAGGAGGCACACCATTCTGTTATTTTTGTTGCAACAGACAAAAACAAAAAATACAGAGCTATTTCCTTCTAAAATCCTATTTATTCTCTTTATATTAAAAAGTATCTCAGGTTGTAACTCAGTATCTCAGCTGCAGCTTTCAACCTGTTGCTTCTGGCGAACTCTTGATGCTCAAGCTGTATTTCTGTTTTATTCTGATTTTATGCCAGCTCTCTCTTGTATACCAGGGCAGAGTATAAATAAATATGGAGAGCGAACAATAAATAACAGGAAGTATTCCAGGGTTTATTATGGTTTTGTAGTTTTGCAGCAATCTAATCTCTTGATGCCCGGTGTTTTGAGTTCAGCCTTAAAACAGCAACAATAGCCTTAACCCCAAGAGAGCGCAAGGCTATAAATCTAAAAATACTACAGCCAAGAAAGTTTTGAAAAACTTCCTAAATTATATTCCTACTGTTACGGAGGCAGTGTGATGCATTTGCAACCTAAAATTTAATTTGCAATCAAAACCAGAGCTAGTTAGGTAAATATAAAACTCAGGGCTGGGATAAGTTATTTTTTTGGGGGGAGGGGGAAATATAGGTCCCATAATCTCACCATGGTGGCTGGGGGATTCTGGGAATTATAATACATGTACATACAGATGCATATTTTTTTTCCCAGGGTTGGCTTAAACTCACCGATTCCAGCGAAAGGGGTCTAAATGCAACTTACATGGATTCAGTTTGCAAATCTAATTCCAAGCAGAGGAGACCAAGGCTGCATCCGCACTGCAGAATTAATTAATCTCTTCATTGTTTTAATATTAACGGATTAAGATTTGGGAATGTTGAACACAGAAAAAGAAAGATCTACACCCAATTGCCCTACTATCCAGATAGAGGAGACCTATTGAATCGCATGCTGACTGGTAAGTCAACATGGATGAACAACCCATTGATTCAGTTGGGCTCCATCCACACGGCAGAAATAATCCAGTTTGACACCACTTTAACTGTCATGGCTCAATGCTATCGAATTCTGGGACTTTGTAGTTTGGTGAGGCATCAGGGGTCTCCGACAGACCAGGCTGAATTCTTCACCAAACTACAATTCCCAAGATTCCACAGGACAGAGTCATGGTAGTTAAAGTGATGTCAAACTGTTTTAATTCTGCAGTGTGGCTACATCCTGAAGGATGAGCCACTAAAAAGCACTCTGTACATGCCCACAGGGTGCATCTACACTGGAGAAATAATGCAGTTTGACAGCACTTTAACTGCTACGGCTCCATCCTACCGAATCCTGAGATCTGTAGTTTTGTGAAGCACCAGCCCTCTACATATAATACCAAAATTTTTGAAAAGGAAAAGGTCATTTTTCTATGAAAGCAAGAAGAAGCCAGTAGAGGAATTAAAATTTTTGGACTAGGACTTGGGAGGTCCAGGTTCGAGTCCCGTGAAATTTCCCAAACGACTTTGGTCAAGTCTCTCTGTAAGAGTTTGTGACCTACCTCAAAGGGCTGCTGTGAAGATAAAATGAGGGGCAGGAAAACCTTGAGCTTACGGAGGCAAGCTTGTCAATAAAGCCTTGAAACTTTCCAAATTCCTGCATTTTTCCAGTTTGAGAGTTCTGCAAAAGATACCCACTCCAAAATAAATAAATAATCTGGGCTTCCCTTTTGCAGAAAGATGAAGTCAATCCCCAACTAAAATCTAAAACTGCTGCCAGGCCACACCTTTTGGCATCCCAAGAGGAAATCACATCCCATTTTTCACGCCTCGCTTTTCTATTTTTCCAGCCTGGTTTTTCCTTTCGGAGCAGAAATCTGGACGATGAGAAAAAACATGACAGAGAAGGAAAGGAAAAATAAAAAGCAGTGGGACACGACACATGAATGGCTTTGGAAGGCGGCCACCAGCCGTCTCCACCAAAAGAGCAGCTCTCGGTTGCTTCTGAAACCATTTTTAATTCCTTCCCTGGGAACCAGATAAGATCCTCAAGTATAAAAGACACAGCGCTGGATCTACCAAAGCCGTTGGATTATTAAGATTTCTAAGGTATGGTTGGGAAGGCTGGGGTATTAGCTACCCTTCCTAATTTGGTGTCATCTGCAGAGTTGATAAGCATGCCCCCTATTCTTTTTATTCAAATCATAGAATCATAGAATCATAGAGTTGGAAGAGACCACAAGGGCCATGCAGTCCAACCCCCCTGCCATGCAGGAACTCCCAATCAAAGCATCCCCAAAGCATCATTGATAAAGATGTTGAATAGCCAACTGGGCCCAGGACAGAAGCCCACTGGACACCCCAATGGTCACTTCTCTCCAGGATAAAGAAGAAGAGGAGCCATTGCTGAGCGCCCTTTGGGTTCGGACGGTCAACCAATTGCAAAGGAGAAGGTTAAGAGGTGATATGATGGCCCTGTTTTAAGTATTTGAAGGGGTGTCACATTGAGGATGGAGCAAGCTTGTTTTCTGCTGCTCCAGAGAATAGGACCGGGAACAATGGATGCAAGCTCCAGGAAAAGAGATTCCAGCTCAACATTAGGAAGAACTTCCTGACAGTAAGAGTTGTTCAACAGTAGATGATGCTGCCTGGAAATGTGGTGGAGTCTCCTCCTTTAGAGATTTTTAAACAGAGGCCGAGTGGCTATCTGTTGGAGATGCTTTGTTGGAGATGATAAAACTCTGGCACAGAAAGGTAGCAGCAGAAACACTCTGTAACAACAGCTGGAGCCTTAAGGAAGAGGCCCATCGCTCACCAGCAGCCCCTCACCGTGAGAGCTGTCAGCACCCACCTTTTATTTCCCCTGCGGTTTTTAAAAAGACCCATCTGGGCAAAAGCAGCAGGCGGAAATTTGTGAGGCTCTAGCAGAAGAATATATATATATATATATATCAAGGGCTGGGCTTTTGTAGAGAGGGCTGGGCCCCTTCCGGAATCCAAAACCAGAAAGTAGTTTAGCATCCCTGATCATCTCAGCCTGATCTGTTTCAAAAAACCATTATATGTCTATAGTCTTTTGGATTAAAAAGCAGGCAGCAAAAAGCGAGGTCCAGCAGGGGTTAGACTTTAGTTAGGATGGATGAAAGGATGGGGAGGGAAGGAAGGAAGGAAGGAAGAGGCTGGGAACCCCAGCAAAGCAGATTCAACTGCAGCAGCTGCTACCTGACTTGCTCAGCTGGCCTGGTAGAGGGTTGGATTGGATGACCTTTGGGGTCCCTTCCAAATATTCTGACAATGGATTCTTGGCTATTTTCCCTAGAACTGGACTCCTGGATTGCGGCCCCAATTCAGACATGCTCAATCCAGCCCCCAGGCACAGCCCTGCTCTTCTGAATGGCAAAAACCAAGTCTCCCCAGAAGTAAGTTCTGTGTCAGTTCCTTACACAAACTCCGGCTTAAGCCCACTGGACCACCTTAGCCAAGTCACACACTCTCAGCCTCAGAGGATGGCCCCTTCTGAAGATAGCTTGCCAGGGAAACCCATGATAGGTTGTCCTTAGGGTCACCATAAGTTGGAAATGACTTGAAGGCACACAACCACAACATCATCATCATCATCATCATCATCAACAACAACAACAACGAGTGGTGTAGTGGTTTCAGCATCAGTGAGAGACCAGGGTTTGGATCCCTGGTTGTCCATGGACACCCACTGGGTGACCTTGGGCCAGTCACACTCTCTCAGCCTCAGAGGGAAGCAA